AACAACCTGTGAAAATCAAGTCGTCCACACGGACCAAAAGGATGCCCTTCGCATTTCTTCCTAGGCACGGACATCACTGAACTTCTAATTGAGTTGTTTGGGGAACTCTTTGCCCAGGTAAATTTCTTTTCACTAAAGATTCTTCTCTTTCCAAGTTCAAAACTGCATCTTTCGCAAGACATTAGCATTTGAGAAAACGCTCCTTCTCCCTCTCGTGCTTCTTCCTCCTCACTGACTCCCTGCCAGAATATTCTGGGTAGACGAGAAGAAGTTCATGAACCGTTGGTTGTGTTGGCTAAGAGAGAACTGGGGTGTCTGGTCTTGGATATCGATGCGGATGATCGTACGAAATTGCGACCTGATTGATGGGGAAAGGCTGGGGCAAACAGTGACCGCATTGTCGATAAGAATCGGCCCAGGCCAAACAACCCCGGCCGGGGAGAGAGAATTTTGCCAAACTGTGCGCAGGGCAACCGCCCGAGAAGAAGCCGCCCAAGAAATCTTGTCAAAACACCACGCGCCTCTGTTGGAGCGTCTGACCTAGGTGAAAAGCGCTTGCTACAAACTGCCGACTAATGCTTAGTGCAGGAGGTTACAAATTTCCAGCAACAGCGCCCTCCCAGAATGGTGTTCTTTTGCAGAACACTCTCACGCACCGGCGGCAGCCCCCCAGACACATGCCAACAAGGAAACGCAACGCGGACTTGCTAGCAGACGCAAAGCAATTTGAACCAAATCAAGCGCGAGTCGTGGCTGAATCCTCCAACAGCGTCAACTCACGCAGCGCAGCTTCAGTGGGCGTGAGTTACACCAGCTACCCTGGTTAGTAGGAGCTGTGCGCAAGCTTGCCTGATGATTTGGCGCGTGATGGCAGCCATGTAATTGCAGGAGTCATGAGCATTCAAAAGGTATGTCACTAAGGCGCGGGCGCTTAACTGACTTGTTGCGCGGCTATTCGTACACTGCGACAAATAGTCGGCGCAGACGATGGCCTCAGCGCCAGCAGGACAACGTTGATGGGTGGGAGCTTGTGTTTGGCCGGCTCCTCCACTGCCGTTTTCAAAACATTGCATTGGGCCTGGCCCATGATCGCGCAGCCCAGAGCGTCGTTGATACATGGTAAGAATCATATCGCGCAACCTCGCCGACTGCAGAGTCGCGGCCGGTATATCAAGTGATCAGCAATCCGACGCCAGTAACGGCGTCAGGCGGCGACAAAACCAGGGCCTTGCAGGCGCGTATTGCGCTTTATCGTGAAATGCGCTCGACCAGGGGCGCGCATCACTCTAGGCTTCGGTCAAACGCGCAATCCACGTCACTATGCAAAGTTCGCTCGGCTTGCACCGATGCCCGGATCTTCTTCAATGTCGCGTGGAGCGGCAGCTTATAGCCTTTGCGAAGCTGGTGCACATCGGAGACTCTCCAATTTTACCAGTTCAATAGCCCTCGCCCAGAGCGACGCAAGCGCATCGCAAAAAAGCGCTTTGGCTGCCACTTTTGGCCCGCAACGTGGAGGGTAGCAAAGACATCAGCCCCGCCCAAGTTTCTTCCCAAACCAGGTTCAACTCCGCCCCGCGAGGACTCCTCCGGTAGATGCCACACGAGCGCAAAAGCCACGCCGCTGCACCGAGACCACGCGAAGCGTGTTGAGCTCAGCTAACTCCGATGTTGCGTGGCATCTTCGGCAAAAGAGGAAGCACCTACGCCGGCCGCTTGATCGTGAACACGCATGCTCGCTGGCGCGATGGGCTGGGGCAAGTTTGTTTCGCGGCGGGTGCCCGGCGATTGGTGAGCAAAGGATGCGCGTGGAAGGTGGTTCGATTCAGCTTGTTAGCAGGCTTTTGCGTGGTGTTCGCACTTGTGGGCTGTGACGTACTGTCATAGTCCATGCTCCAATCGCTAGCGTCACTGCATTGCAAGATGCTGGCAAGTTTTTCAAAGCTGCCAATCACGCTACGCTGTGAACACGGGCGGTGTTGAAATACACTGTGCCAAACGCGCGTTTGTACAATAGTGTGTGTAGCTCAACGGATAGGGTTTGTTTTGGTAGGCTGGGCTGTAGGTAAGCAGACTGCAAGCCCAAATGCTTCCCAATTGACTCTCTACTGTCAAGGTGTACCCCATCATTACCATCATCAACTTGATTTTCTTGGCTGCGGCCCTCAACCAGTCTCGTACTAAGCATGCCAGTTAGGCAACCAATTGACAAGGATCTATTGCATTTGGGTTGCGCAGGCTCGCGTTGATCAGCTTCAACGATTTTTTTTTCGGTGTGGTCAACACCTTTGAAGAATGCCTGGAGAGAACAGAGCAGGCTAGATGCAGTTTTGAAGAGTGTTTGGGCAAAAACAATGTCGTGCCAATTGTTGGCCATAGTTTCGTGTCAAGCAGGTCCTAATTGGTGTGGCAGCGCTTTTTGCCATTGGCGTGGTGTGGAAGTTCCGTCTTCAGTCACACAGAATTTTGTAGCGCGCGTTTGGGAAAGGTCATTTTGGCTCATGGTGTCACGTTACTATGGTTTGTGCTTCTGACTAATAAACTGCAGGTTCAAGGACCGAGTGTTCGAGGCGCTTTCGTTCCAAGGAAGCTTGCCATGCTTGGGCCTGCCATGTCCAGGTCCTTGGTGTGGAGAACGCATCGGCAATCTTTGGCGATTTCCGGGATTGGGCGACCTGCTGGCACCACGCCCAAATCTGTTTTGTTTTACAAAGAGTGTGTTCAAAAGTTCAACTTCTGAATTTGTTCATTCTTCCAGGTCTATGAAACGTTTCCATCCTTTGGAAGTCTTCATTTGGAAGGCAAGGATTGGATGCCACGATGCCAGATGCTTTGTGCTGGCTTGTGCAATTGCGTTCGTTGCCCGAGGTCGAGGGTTTGCCCTCAGCTCGCCTACATTCACCTAACGATGTATTTTGCGAGGCCACAGTTGCGCTCCACTCTCATGGATTTGTTCGATTGTTGTTGTCACTTCACGTCTCTGCGACCCACAAACCTACCGCCTACACTGTCGATGTTCATGCCTTCTGCGAACCGGTGACTGCACAGTCCTCAGAAGCTAGGTGTCTTTTGGCTACAACGTGGTCATGAAGACTCGGGCCTCCCACTTAGACACTGAACTCATGGCGCTTCTGGTTGTGGTTGAAATCCTGCAAACAAGCCGCGCCCAGGTTCACCACCGTGCAGGGCATTCTTGCAATTTCAAAGCAAAGTACTTAGACTCTACGGGCAACGCCCTGGGCAATTCCCAATGTGGTAGAATTTGCAAGCTACTTGGCAGGAGACGTTGCAGCTGAACTTTGATCCATTCGACTCTGAACGCCGGCTTACTTTGTCCATCAAAAGCCAGGCGAGCTAAAGACACTTCCTTGCTTGCTTGCCTTGTTTAGCGTTGATGTTATTCACCCGAGAGTTTTCAGATTAAGTCATGAAGAATGGGGAAGAATAGCGTATAATACAGAGCTGGAACCCTCGAGGCCTGTTTTAGAGTGCTGCAGCTCTTGACTGGTATGAGTGTTGGACCACATTGGATCTCCTCGCGTGCGTGGTTTACATACAGTATATAAAAAAAAACATATTTGTTTATTACCTTTTTTACGTAAACCACGTATGCGAGGAGATCCAACGTGGTCCAACATTCCTAGACCAGTCAAGAGCTGCCGGTACCTTGTCAACACAATCCTCAATCTGAAACGTAGGCTTTGGTATTGCAATTGTCACTTAGTATTGAGTGTTTAATGTCCAACAATAGTATAGAACCGAATAACAAAGTCAGAATCCAAACATGTCACAGCTGCAAAGATACTCTCCGTTTGCCACAGTCCACTCAGTACGCCTGTGGTGTTTGACTCAGCGCAATCACACTATCAACCTTGCATGGTTTGAAGTATCTTTGCCAAGACTGAACCTCCAAGTCGAGTTTCGCTAGACTCTGCGTTTCAAAACAACACGGTTTCCACATTTTTGGATGAGCTGGAATCCTTGTCCCTTAAATGGGCTGAAGTCGTATGTTGAAGAGCTTGCAAAGCGTGTGCGCATGTAGCTTCATCTCAGATGCACTTCCAATCGAACATCATTAGCCCCCACCCCACATCTATACATCGCTGACAATGTTGCGCAACCGATGATGTTGTTGCGCAATCGATGCCTATGATACTGTTACTGTATATACTTTTCTGAAACCGATGACAACAGCAAGCGTGCAAAGACTTTACAAGGCCACCTAAAAGTCTTCTTTGCAGAGCTAACGCTCTCCCCAGTGGCCCTGCGGACAAAATGCTGTAAGACTCTGTTAGGCTCTGTTGGGTTAGCGCCCTACGGCGGACGGGCTGGGGGTGGCACATCCCCGCTGGCGCCAAACTTGGCCGGGGTGGTGGAGATGCAAATGGAGTTAGAAAGTTATTGACGTGTGATGAACACACTTGAGAAGCCAAGTAACGTTACGGCAGTGGGAATTGTAACTGGGCCCCAAACCAGAACACAATATTTCAGACGCAAGAAGCCCCGCAAAAATGCTGCCTTTCTCTATAGGGGCAGCTCCAAAGAAAGAAAACCACACGATGCGTCATGAGTTATTTGATGTCAGTGCACATTTTTGCAAATCGGCAAGAACCTGAGCAGCACGGCGTCCGACATGGAGGATCCTCTCCTGCAAAGGCTCCAACTCAAGCACCGGTTCAAGGCGCCGCTCTCAGCGCAAGGCATGGGAGACCACGGCTGTGCACCGATGGACCATCTGTTCTAAGGTGAACTGAGATCCATGTCAAATCTTTGGCCAAAAACATCGCAGGGAATCTTCCCAGAAATGCGGGAGAGGTACCAGGCCCGAGTCTAGAGCCACTTATGCTTGCACCAGTGGGCTGACGCAAGCAACGTCAGGACTTTCTTCTCCATGTCAACGTCATGAAGCCAAGGACACCCGTTTTGCTCCTGTGTAAGTCTGGGAAGCACAACCGTCCGTATCCAAAGGCACGCCTTGGACTTGACGGGGATCGGCTGAGTCACACCAACCCTGTGCTCCAATGCCAAGGAATCATCTAATCACGTCGCTCCAGGCACTTGCCGTGCTCCTTGCCAGGAATGGCACTATCACGAGGCAACAATAAGCAACCGAGCCCTGGCAGACTAAATCCGGAAAGCCACCTTGGCTGCGAGACGTAAGTCAACTCCTAAGGCACACAAGGCACGGGCATAGCCTGTGCCAAGGGAAGCACCCTCATCAATATACTTAAAATTGTTTTCAAGGCCCTATAGCGTGCCGCATTGAGACGCTTCGACGTTGGCAGCCGCCCTACTGCTGCACTGGCCAGGGTTCAGCGCCATGTAAAACGGAGCTTTCCACCCTTATGGCCATCTGCTGAGTACGGTGTGGGAGTCCAATGCCCAGATCACGTAGTGAGACACAGAGCTGGGAGGTTTCCTGTACCAAGCAGATGCACGCGACGTCAAGCAAGTGTGCGAAACTAAGATTGCTGTCAAAGGTGGGCCCCAGCATGCTGAATGACAGCTTCATGAAGACTGGGAAGGTCAGTGGAGCTTGTTTGACGGTTGACTAGCTGAAACCAACATCAAGGCCACCTTATTTGGGCCAGCAGCAAAGCGGTGTGTCCACAACTGTCAGAACTGCTCCAAGGCACACGGTGGATGCTCCACAGTGGATTAAAAAATAGAAACGTCGTCAACAAAGGGAAAGGTCAGCAATGAGTGGGTGGCAAGGACGTTCAAGGCAACCAAGGCTGTTTCCAAATTCGTGGAGCGAAGCAAGTTGGAGCGAAGCAAGCTGTAAATACCACTCAGGTTTTTCGAACACAATATTTGCATTTGCATCGCCATTGGGACTTTTAGCAAAACCAATGATCTCATGTTTGAAATCCTGGAAGCAAAGAGCAAAAAGCCTATGGTTTTGGACAGGACCTGAAAAACCAAACACAGCAAAAAAAAAGAAAACAAACAATGTTTTGGACACTATGCCCAACCCTGAAACCACTAGACGATGGATGGCCCGAGGGCGTTTGGGTGTAGAGTTACTCTGGCGTTATGGCATTCTTGCGTGATGATGAAACCGTACAGTGGTGACAGAGAAAGTGCCAGAGAGCAGAAGAAAAAAGCATATTCAGAGGTGCAGATCCGTCAGTTTTTGACACTAAGCACGCATTTCGTGCGAAAGGATTGCCACCGACAAATTTAAATCGCAATATACTTGCAGTTTTTTTACACTTGGCGCGCATTTCGTGGGAAAGGGCTGCATGTCCTTGCGCCTCGTCGGCGCTGCCTCCTGGCCGCAAGAGAAAGTCAATATATGCGCAAAAAGAAAAGGAGGGGAGAAGAGAGAGAATGAGAATGAGAGCGGGAAAGAGAGAGAGAGAGAGAGATGCGCAGATGTGAAGATGTGCTTGTCTGGATATGCACAGATGTGAACATGTGAAGATGCGCTTGTGATGATATGCAACGCTCATGTTGTTTGCTCACGTTTAAAGAAGAACCCGCTCCCGACACAAGTTGAACCACACTGACGCAATGACTTTGACTTGAAGCTACGCTCATCTTACAAAGGTTTGGACTAGTTTGGATTTTTTTGGGGGGTGGGTTTGTTTGGTTGGAATCATTTATGTTGGCTTAGAAAACATTGCCTCTATTTTGGAGGGCGAGTTCATAAACGCAGCGTACGTTTATAAATTACTCCAGCATAGACCCCAGATAGCAAAAGCGCGCAAAAGATTTTTCTGGGCTGCGCCCTGCATTGGCAGCGGCTCCAATTTTTACACGCAATACAGCGTGGCGTGTCTTTGTACGCGCGCAGCCAGCGCCAGCGCCCGGCACCAGCGCCCAATCTGCACCACGCGCGCAACGAGCACCAGCCACCCGGCGGCGCCCTGTGTCCGCCGCGCGCGCAGCCAGCACCAGCACCCAGCGCCGGCGCGCCAGCTCACAGCACCACACGCACACAGCCAGCACCCGGCGCCCTGTTTCCACCAAGGCCAGTACGATCTTGCGCGTACAAGTTTGCGCGCGCAAAAGTATGCGCGCAAACGGCAAAGCCCGTAGGCCTCACTCGCGCAAAGCCAAGCAATATCCAGCACGACTATTGTGTGTGTAGTACGCTGAAACATGCTGAAACAATTGTCGGTTGAGAGCCTGACGTTGCGCATACAACATTATACGTACAAAAGTCTGCGCGCAAACAGTACAGCCCTTGACACAGCTGTCGGCCAAAACAGAACCTGAAGAGGGTAAATACCCCACAGCGCTAATAGACAAAGAACGCTCAAGCGACAACACCGTATGATGTTGCGTGCGTACAGCCAGCTCACAGCACCAGCACCAGCACCGGCGCCCAGCACCCACCCAGCACCGGCACCATGTCCACCACGTGCGCAGCCAGCTCACAGCACGCACCCGGCACACAGCACCGGCGCCCTGTCTCCACCACGCGCGCAGCAAGCTCACAGCACCGGCGCCCAGCAACCTGTCTCCACCACGCGCGCAGCCAGCTCACAGCGCCAGCCAGCTCACAGCACCAGCACCGAGCACCGGCACCGGCACGCGCGCGGCCAGCTCACGGGGCGGGCGCGCACGTGGCGGAGACGCACCACGCGTACACCCAGCGCCAGCACTGGCGTCCTGTTTCCACCACGCGCGCAGCCAGCTCACAGCACCAGCACCGGCGCCAGCAGCACCAGCACCGGCGCCCGGCACCAGCGCCAGCAACCTGTCTCCACCACATGCACAGCCAGCTCACAGCACCAGCACCGGCACCCAGCACCAGCACCAGCAACCTTTTCTCCACCACGTGCACAGCCAGCTCACAGCACCAGCGCCCGGCACCACCAGCGGCACCCAGCACCAGCACCGGCGCCAGCAACCTGTTTCCACCACGTGCACAGCCAGCTGAGTCCAAAAGCAAACGCGCGTTGTTTGTTTTTCGAATTTGATGTGTAATTTTTTGCGCGTTTAGACGGTGGAACTAAGTACATCCAATCTTGCAGCAGAAGCATACGGCAACCACTGCACTTGCAGAGGGAGGTTGCGGGTTGAGGCGATGGTGTTGACAGGTCTTCAGGATTGACAGCAGGCACTCACTCGCAGCTGGCAACTTTCTAGTACACATGTAGCGAGGGCAGCGCTAGATTTGGAATCTTGATGGAAGACGGAAGTCTTAAATCCCATTAAAAAGGTTTTGTGTGTACACGAGTATCTAAACCGAGTAGTTTCAACAACCATCGATCGGGCCATCCAAGATATCCCAAAAGGTGCCTGTCAAACATGAGTATGCCCTGTACGTGTGATCAGATGAGCCTGAGCGGGGCATCCAAGTCCTTGTACCGACCAACGGTGGCTTGACTGATGCTGT